GTCCTAACGCCGTGTGTGTCTCTGTGTCTCATGTCCTAATGCCGTGTGTGTCTCATGTCCTAACGCCGTGTGTGTCTCTGTGTCTCATGTCCTAACGCCGTGTGTGTCTCATGTCCTAACGCCGTGTGTGTCTCTGTGTCTCATGTCCTAACGCCTTGTGTGTCTGTGTCACTGTCTGAGCTGGTTTTCTCATTTTCTGGCTGATAGCTTCTCCTTTCCCAGCACTCAGTCCAGGGCCATAACCAGGGCACTAACCGGAGCCGTAACTTGGGCCGTAACCGGAGCAGTGATCGGTGCCATAACCTGGGCTGTAACTGGGGCAGTAATGAGTCTTCAGCTCAGCAACACAGTTTTCTTACCCCTGTTTGGGGCTGCTTGGGGGTCGCGGGTCACAAGTCCTTGTCGTGGGGGGGGGGTGGTGATGTGGTATGGCCCATTGCCCCCCACTGAGGGTCCTGATCTCCGGGTGTTTAGCTGCATTCCGTTTTGGTAGGGAGGTAGGTGTCATGAAGATGGAATAAGCAGTGTTACCAATGCAGTGCTCACAACTCAGTGTTACCTATGCAGTGTTACTGCGTGTGTGTGTCATGGCTGGGGGCGTAGGCAGCAGAGCAGCGGGTGTGTTTCTTTATCTCTGTGTGCTTGTATGTGGGGACGGGGGCATCAATTACCCTGAGTGCTCCAGGAGAACAGCCCCCCCCCCCACCATGTGGATTAACGCAACACCATCCAGTTGGCCCCCGGGGGGCTTAGTGTTATTTAAAGTGCAGTTTCTAACATGATGCTCCCACACACTGGTTTATTCAGTGATGCTTCCTCTCTGCAGATGCGTAATGCTGCCCCCCTGTGGTCTGTGTGGTGCAGCCTGTGTGACTCTGAGTACTTTGTATAACTTCTTGTAACAGCACCCCCTGTTTGTCTGTGTTCTGTCAGTTTCTGGGGCTTATGCCAGGGCTGGGGGTCTGACCCCACCGGATGCTGACCTAGGCCCTTTAGGGCGTGACGTCGAGCTGGATCTCCCAGCCAGCATGGTCTGCCATGTGGGGGGTATGGCCTGGCTCAGAGCCAGTTCCCACAGCGATCATGCAGTCATTTTGTGGCTCTCTCTCTCTGTTGATTCGCCTAAGTTGTGGTCACACCAACCGCAGGTTAGTTGTGGTTCTCTGGCTACTCGTCTTCATCCATGTGTCTGGAGGGTGGATGCTCATGTGTGTTTGCGTGTCTCAGCAAGATGCCTTACCGGCCGGCCAGGCGCCATGGCGATGGCGTGGGAGTTGCTTGTGCATACACTCAGAGTCATGAGGGGAGGGGGGAGACACCTATGGGGAACCTATTGTCCCCTGAATAGAAACAGTAGGGCAGTAGATGACGACCCCGCACTCCCCCCCCGGATTGGAATCTGGAGCCACCTTTGCCACAAACAGAACAACTGGATAGCCCCCCAGACTCTGTTCCTTGCCTCCCCCATACCCTCGGTTTCTGCTTTTGCAGTGGGGGTGCAATTTACATCCCTGCACAGTGGCCACATGCTGACCTCGAACCCACCAACTGGCTTAAGCAGATTTCCAGCCTTTTTCATCTGGACAAAGCCTCCCCCCCACCAGCTTCCTCCTAAGCCACAGCACATGTGCCTTCCAGAGCCTGACCTACATCCCTCCCCCATTCATCGACTCGCTGTGGTCTGCTCGTGGTTCTAGCTCCTGTGTGTGCCGTGATGGTCAGCGGGGCCCCAGAGGAGCTCTGATTGCAGGATTTGTTTTGTCTTTTTTACCATTCACATATGATGGGAGGGGGGCGCCATTGAGAGCCATTCCTGGGGTTGTCCCTGCTGCCTTCTCCGTACCCTCTGATGCCTGGGGGGTGTGGTCCGTGCTCTGATCCCACTCCTTCCCCAGGTGAATCCTGCCCCAGGGGCCGTGTGCTAGCCATGCTGCGCCCAGCCGAGTCCACGACCAGCACACTGCGCCTGGTAGCTACTGACATGACTGAGATCATGGAGAACCTGGACACACGAGAACTGGCCTTTGGCGATGGTGAGGAGGCGGAGATTGACAACACCGACTGCGGTCACACCGGTGAGCACGTGTGCGGCCTCCTTTATTGGGCCATAAGCAGGTCCCGATGATCCCCTGAATACGTCATATTACGGTGTAGCCCCTTAATGGGGATTGTATATCCCACATGGAAATATCAGCAATGAGGGCTGTAATTTAATGGATATAACTGCAGGGGGCCCATTGATCAGAATGCTGAACTTCCACTGTAAATATCGGCAGTGAGATCTGTAATGTAGTGGGTATGACAGCAGATGGCGTAGTGGTTAGAGTACCTCAGTGGGATACACCAGTTAAGCAGAAGTCTGATCATAGCCTTTGGTGGATGTATACAGCCCCTATGTTCGAAATTGCTACAAATTTGATAAACACACCTAGCAAACACACTTCTTGTATCACAAGGCTGATGGTGGCAGTTTACAGCTTTCAATACAGCTGTGCCTGACATTCTTCTCACAAATACAGAGAAAACAAGTTGGTAGCTAAGTATAACCCAAACTCGACATGTGGAACAACGAGATCTTTCTGGTAATGTCAGACCATGATATTGATTGGTTGTCCACGGTGTTGCACAGAATGACATTTACAATATTTTTATTTAGTTGCTACTAACTACAATACATTGGTGCAGCAGACTAAGAACATGGTGCCAGTTTAAAACTGGCTAGTTTGATTTAAGGTCCACTTTGCACACAACCTTACTATCAAACTTATGTTTAGCTGGTGCAACCCACTGCTGGCCCTCTGAATGGGAGTATCGGTACTAAGGGGTGCAGTGTAATGGGTCTCACAACAGAGGGTAGTGTACTAAGCATACTGGGCTCCCATATGGAAATGACAGCACCCCCCCTCCCTAAACCGGCCCTTCTGCCCCGAACAGACCCATGGCTCCCCTTCTCAGCCATCTACAACACCACGGGTTTCAAGGAGACGGGGGCCGTCGTGTTCCTCAACAAGTTGCCAATCACTGCTAAGATCCTCGAGGTGGAGCGCTTCACCACGGCCCAAGAGCGCCTCAAGGCCAGCCACCAGAGGAGCGTCTCCAAGGTGGGTCGGCAGTTGCAGGCGTGGCCTGGGTCAGCAGGGGCGTTCCCGGGGTAGGTTGGGTCCAGTGGGGACCAGCAGGGGCGTACCCGGGGTCAGTCGGGTCCAGTGGGGACCAGCAGCGGCGTACCTGGGGTTAGTCGGGTCCAGTGGGGACCAGCAGCGGCGTACCCGGGGTCAGTCGGGGGCGTGGCCAGGGTCCGGTGGGGACCAGCAGGGGCGTACCTGGGGTCAGTCGGGGGCATGGCCAGGGGCCGGTGGGGACCAGCAGGGGCGTACCTGGGGTCAGTCGGGGGCGTGGCCAGGGTCCGGTGGGGACCAGCAGGGGCGTACCTGGGGTCAGTCGGGGGCGTGGCCAGGGTCCGGTGGGGACCAGCAGGGGCGTATCTGGGGTCAGTCGGGGGCGTGGCCAGGGTCCGGTGGGGACCAGCAGGGGCGTACCCGGGGTCAGTCGGATCTGGTGGGGACCATGGCCTGCAGTTAGCAGGGGCGTTGATGGGGTCTGTCCCTCCTCCCCCCCCCCGCAGGTGCCAGCCGTCTTCCGGATTGAGCTCAGGCACGGCTCCTTCACCTGGCTGGTGAAGCGTAAGGAGAAGCACTTCCTGGAGCTCCACCGTGAGCTGCTGCGCTACAAGACCTTCCTGAGGATCCCCCTGCCGTCCCGCAGGTGAGCCGGGAAAGTGCTGCCCAGGGGGTGGTGCCTGGGGAGGCGAAGGGGTCCTCTACCTTTCCGTGTCGGGCTTGGAGACTTAAACTGAGGGAGACTGGAAAATCCATTGACCCCACTGCTACCGCTCAGGATCGAGAAGGGTGTTCGTCATGGCCGGGCAGGACAAGGCATTCGGGAGTGGCAGGGGGCTGTCTGGGGGTGCAGTCACATCTCTACCGTGCAAGATGGCATTCTGCAGGAGACCCCCCGCCCCCACCTGCTGCACGCCTGAAACCTGAGGCTGTCCCAGATGGCACACCTGATCCTCCACCCCTGCGGTCTGCTCACACCGCCCCTGCCCTCCTTGCACCCTGTGACTCTGCGCTACCCGAGACGTGACCCCCCCAACACACTGTGTCTCAGGTTCTCGGAGGAGCTTCTGTCGTTCCCTAACATCTTTAAGGATCCAGAATTTGCTTCCTTGTGGTTCTAGACACTGACAGTCTGGAGTGTAATGTTAATGTTGGTGTTAGCAGGCTCAGACAACATCACTTCCTGCTGACGTCGCTCCCTATCTCTCCTCTTCCTGTCCACCCAACACCCCCCCCCACCCCAATCAGCCACACAGTTCGGCGCCAGACTGTGAAGAGGAGCGAGGTACGGCAAATGCCAACTCTGCCACGGGGCGGGGGCGAGGACCTGGTGCGGGAGGAGCAGGTGTCCAGCAGGAAGGTGAAGGTCCACCCCCCTTTCCGTCGGCACCTCCTGGGGGACAAAATGCTGCTGTCTGGTTTTCAGTTTTCATCGCCACGGCCTGCAGACTCAGCCTTCCCACCCACCTGCTATCCATCAGGGCTGTGTACCCTGTAGGCGTCATGGATGTCCATCAGTTTTTGGCCCGTATGGAGGCAGCACACCCACAGAGACTTAAGGGGGCATTGATTTTTTTTTTATTGTATTGATAATTTATATCACATGTTGCAAATGCAGCACTTAAACTTATTTTCATGCCATTTCTTAAATGCGTGCCTAGATTAAATGTCACACTCTCTCTCGCTATTCATTAGTATCATGCACTGCAAGCATTGATTGGTTCATTTTCAGTTGAGAAACGTGTGCTTCTGTGCCACCCAACCCACTGTTTTTAGTAGCCGCTGTCTGGACTAAGCAGACAAATAAAGTCAGTCATCTTCTAAAAGTAAGACTATTTGGCTATTGGGCTCCCCCTCGAAGGAGAGATGTAGTAAGTATCTGAAACGTGTCAGTGTGTAACATAGGCCTAATAACAGTCATGTTATTGTGTATGAAGGTTACACTGGTTAGCTCACATTGGCACAGTGCGCCATTATACTGAGTGCTGCATGTTAGCTTACAAAAATTAGTTAACTATCAAGCTATTGAAAAAAATGTTTTGCAAATATGTCCTTTAGAAGCATATAATACATATTATTTTAATTATCATACATAGTGGTGCCTAAATGCAGTTTAAAGTAGATGTATGAAAGGAGAGAAAGTTGACAAGGATGGTAGCGGTCCTAGTGGACTTCAGCACCTACTTCATGGCATTTCTAAGCTAGTTTTTTTGTTGGTAGTAAGTGGCTCAGTGGCCTAAGCCTTTGTGCCTGTGTTGGGAAGGTTGCTGGTTTGAGCCCAACCTCAGCATGTCTGCAGGCCCTTAACCCCCAGCTCCTTGGGTGCTGCAACAGGTGGCTGCCCATCACAGCCAGCTTGCTCTCACCTGCAGAGAGGCATAAAGAGAACTTCCCCATGGGGGGGGTCAATAAAGTATCTATTATTAAACACCCTTTTTAAATGCATAACCTTGCATTCATAGTGGCAGTGATTTTACATTGGTGATGACAGATAACTGTATATACTGCATGTTCTTAATTATTAACTAAAGCACTGGATTTCTAAATTACTATATTCCTTGTGTGCCCCTCAAAAAAAGGGATGCATGACACCACTGACTCGATTCAGGGCCTATTGCACTCCAGAACAAAAAAGCAGCCAATGAGATGCCACCAATCAAAGGCCAATCACTAGCACCCCAGAATCCAAAGCAGCCAACGAGATGGCACTAGTTCAGGGCCAGTTACAAGCGCTCTGAGACTCAGCAGCCAATGAGATGGTTCCCATCCACTTGGCTTGGCAGCTGTGTGTTCAGTACTTGTTAATGTTCTCACTGTGTTCTTCCTCCCTCAGAAACAACTGGAAGACTACTTGAATAAGTTGCTCAAAATGCCTGTGTACCGCAATTACCACGCTACAGTATGTCTGACGTTTATCCTTCCCACCTTCCTGAACAGCCATTTAAGTGACAGTATTTTGGAGTGTAGTGTCTTGATATGTGTTTTTTCATGGCCAGTAAAGATGCACCATTGGTTCTTCTCCCTGAACCTTAGATGGAGTTCATTGACGTGAGCCAGATGTCCTTCGTCGGCGATTTGGGTCCAAAAGGCTTGTAAGTCAGTGGCTTCTTGCTGTGTTTGTGACAAACCTTCCGGAAGCATCCGAGAACATTAGCTCAGGGCTATACTTGTACTGCTGGCTGTTTCCCGACCTGTGTAGCTGTATCTTCCTTCGATCAGCTACGATGCCCTACGTTGACACTTTGAGTTGGAGAATGAGACCTTCAGTGTCCCCTCTTAGTCGTAAGGTGAAGCCAGAAAATGTAAGCAGATCCCTACTCTGAGGGATTATAGCTCACAGGATTACAGGATCACAGACCTTTGTCAGTCCTAAGAGGGGCTCCTCTGTTCTACCTTAGAGCGAGGTTTTTCACATGGATGAATCAGCTTGTAAAAAAAATAATGCAATTCTGCTTTAAGATACAGCATTGAACAACTTTCTGACACACCTGTCCATTACTCCCCCCCCCCCCCCCCCTTAGGGAGGGCATGGTCCAGAAGAGGTCAGGAGGCCATCGTATCCCCGGCTTAAATTGCTGTGGCCGCACCAAAGCGTGCTACCGCTGGTCCAAGCGGTCAGTATGCACTCTGCCTGTCGCCGAGCCACGCCTGCCCCATAAACCGCTCACCCTGTGTTGCTATCGCCCCCTGCAGGTGGCTGGTGGTCAAAGATTCATTCCTGTTCTACATGAAACCTGACTCTGGGGCCATCTCCTTCGTCCTCCTGGTGGATAAGAAGTTTAGCATCAAGATGGACTCCAAAGACACAGAGACCAAGCATGGAGTTCGCATTGACAGCTTGTCCAGGTGCTACATCCCCCTTGACGTGCCTAATGAATGTTCAATCAACGTTCCACATGCGTTCTTACGACATTCTGCATTTTTTTGTCATTCCAGATACGTTTTATCATCTGTTTTTGTTCTTCATGTTTTATCGACATTCCACATGCATTTGTGTCAGTGTGGTACAAATGTTTTATCGACATTCTACATTAATGTTATCAAGATTCTACGTGCATTCACCAACAATTTACATATATTTTATCAGTGTTCCCCATGTTTGACCAACATTCCCCGTGCCTTTGCTGACACCTGTGTGTGTTCTGTTAACAGTCCAAACATTCACTTGGCAAACGTTCATTCCACAGTTTCTTATAAAAAATTTTACTGTATTGCTTTGAAACATGCAGTGTTACCTCCTGCAGGACACTGGTGCTGAAGTTTTCTAGCTACCGGCATGCGCGTTGGTGGGGGCAGACCATCGAGGACTTTGTGCAGAGGCACGGTCAGGCGTTCCTGCAGGACCACCGCTTCGGGTCCTTCGCCAGGGAGGAGGAGAACACCCTGGCCAAATGGTAACCATAGTGATGCCACGGCGCCTGCTGCACCTTTTCTTCTGCCCATCGTCGTTCTCACCCTGCCCATCCATTTTAGCCTCAGAGTGTGTGTGTGTGTGTGTGTGTGTGGGAGGGGGGGGGGATTAGGTTTATATTACAATGTAACAAAAACCTGTTATTTTGATGTGGGAACCATTTTTCAGGATCTGTGAATGCAATCAAAATACTAAAAATGCCAAAATGTCTTGTATTTTGTTTGGTTACTTATGGTTAGATTTAGGGCTGAGTAGGGGTTAAGGTCATAATGTAGGGATTAGAGTTGTAGAGTCCCCACAAAGATATAATTACAAACCTGTGTGTGTGTGTTGTCCTGCTCCTGAGTGTTGCATCTGTGTAAAGTCCTTTTGGAGGTTGGGGTTCTGATGATCCACCCGCACGCCTGTTTACAAAATGGATGAAGTCCCCTCATTCAGGGTTCCCGCGGGGTCTTAAAAAGTCTACAATTCAGAAAGTTAAATTTATGGCCTTAAAATGTCTAAATTAAAAAATTATTGCAATGTAAATGTTTTGATGTAGTGCGTTGGTAACTTTTTTCTCTGATGACTGGAGTGAATTTTTTCAGTTAAAAGGCAACTACTAGCCAGTTGGCTCACGTTATTTTATCATAAAATAAACACATTTCTACTTTTACAGAGCATATAGTTTTTAGTTGTTCGTGTGGTCTTGAGGAGAACGTTTCTCGGTCTCCTTATGGTAGGGCAAGGCAAGTTTTTATCATACACAGGGGTTATTTAATGTGCTTTATAAAAACAAGATTTTAAAAAGCTAAACCAAGACAAAAAAAGCAAAATAGAGATGAAAAAAACTTATTTGAATAAAATTGCTTAGAAAATCTAAAAAATCTGATTAAAAGTGCAGTATGCCCTGCCCCGCTCGTCCGCTCCTCCCGTGTGCCACACCCCCTCGTTAACCCCGTGTGGATTCCCCGTCTTTATCAGCTGTTTCCAGTTGTTTTCATTATCGCTGATGGGTCTGGAACGTAACTTCCGCGATAGGCGGGGATCACTATATATTTTAAGGCTTAAACTATAAAAAAGTTTATGTATATGGTCTTTCTATATTGCGGATTTTCACCTATCGCTGATGGGTCTGGATCCCCCGCCTATCGCTGAAGTTACGCATCAGCGATAGGTGAAAATCCGCGATATAGAAAGACCATATATACATAAACTTTTTATAGTTTAAGTTTTAAAATACCGCTCCCACATGCTTTAAACACATGTGAACTTATTAAAACACACTTTGTAAACACATATGATATGTGGATGTTGGGCTAAGGATATGAGTGACATAAAATATGAGAATTGCTGGTATCATTCAAATGTTTCTAGTAATGCATCGTCTTGGTCTTAAATTTTACTCATAATGGTCTTAAAAGGTCTTAAAAAGGTCTTAAATTTAACTTACTGAAACCTGCAAGAACCTGCTCATTGTTGTCCTTGTCATTAAGTTTATTTTCTTAAAACTGGAATTTTGACTGGTTTGTTTTCACGCTGATTATTGCTGCCGAGCTCATTCTATTGCCTCTACATTTCTGCTGCTTCACCTATTTATATGCCGACTCCCTTCTTGCTTTCAAACCTGCTGTTAACTACTAGACCCCCTTCGGTGCCACAAAGCACAGTCCACCTACTTGCAGATAAAATTCTGACAGCTGTGCACTGGAGTTCTTCAGCTGGAGTGCAACATGAAATGTTGAAATAGAACCCAGACAGAGCAGACGGTTGGAAACATCTAACAGGGCAGAATATCGGTGGCTGTAAGAGGAAGTGAGAGTTTAAACTGACATTTTTAACTCAAGATATGTGTTCCTTCTGCTTTCTAGGTACATCAACGGGAAATCCTATATGGAGGATGTAGCCAACGCACTTGAAGCAGCCAAAGAGGAAATCTTCATAACTGATTGGTGGTGCGTTGGCAAAGCCGGACCAATTACAGGACTGGCTCGAACCCGTACCCCCCTGCTTCATTTGGCCCCTGCTGGGAGCAGCTCTCAAGTTACCATAGCAACCTTGAGATGGGCTGGTCTCGTGCTGGAGTGAAAGATGTGGTGGGTGGTGGATTGTGGAGGAGGTGGATGCAGTCTCTGCTGGATTCCTTGTGTGCTTCAAACTATTCTGGAATGTTACAGGATTGCAGCAGATGCTTTCTGAAGTTCTGAGGCATCATGGGCACCGTGTCAGCCACTCTGACCCATCCCCTCAGTTTCCCGTCCCTTCACTGTCCCCCCCCCCAAGGTTTCCACAGCTGCCTGCACACCCCGTCCCCTGTCGTAGGCGTGTCACCAGAGCCTGTAACTGGAGTAACAGGACCCAGCGTCACGACGACCTTCAGGCTCCTCCATTATTAAATTGGGAAACCCAAGGCCTGCACGGCCTGGGCAGCTCAGCCAGGGGGAGGCAGTCGGTGAGCTGGGAGCCAAGTGTGGCACTCAGTTAGCTGAGCGGTCAGTGAGCTGGGAGGTCAGCGGTGCAGTCTGTAGGCTGGGAGGTCAGCGGTGTGAGCTGGGAGGTCAATGGTGTGTTCAGTCAGCTGGGAGGTCAGCGGTGTGGTCTGTGAGCTGAAAGGTCAGCGGTGCGGCCTGTGAGATGGGAGGTCAGCAGTGCAGTCTGTGAGGCTGGGATATGATGCTGTTTGTTCATTAAGGCAAACCCCACGGCTTCCTGTAGTGCTGCTCCCTCACCTTGGACTGTTTCACTTGCCGGGTTCCTAAGACAGCCGGGGTGGGGGGAGGGGCAGTGTATGGCAGTGTGACTCTTCCCATGATCCCCTGCATTCACTGTCGGTCCCCAGGCTGAGCCCAGAGATCTTCCTGAAGCGACCGGTGATGGAGGGCAACCGCTGGCGGCTGGATTGCCTCCTCAAACGCAAGGCGGTGAGTGGAAGCATTTATGCAACCCCTCCCCCACCCACCCCCGTCGGTCCGAGCACTCTTATTGGCTGGGAAAGAAGGGGAAGGGTCTCCTTGACGGCTGTTGCAATCCTGATTGGTCAGTGACTCTGATCATGTGTCACTCCCTCTGGACTCCCTCTGGAGTATATAGTATGTTCTGCATATTTCCCCATGTAATCATCAAGTACTTTGACTTAAAGATGGATTTGGAACACTTGTTTGTGATACATTGTGGAACACCATACAAGACTAGCAGACACCAGAGTGTGCAATGAATAGGAAGTGATTTGGGGCATCGTTTGGGTCCAGAGGACTATTTTTAGATGCAATACTTTCACTTCCTGGTAATGCACATGACACTGGCACTGGTTACTTTCTGTTGCTTAGCAACAAGGCGTGCGGGTCTTCGTGATGCTCTACAAGGAGGTGGAGCTTGCACTGGGCATCAACAGCGAGTACAGCAAGCGGACACTGCGGCACCTGCACGCCAACATTAAGGTTGGCGTTTACCCCATTACTTTCCAGACTAAACCGGTTTGTCACTGTTGCCTGGTGACAGTCTCCTAGCGACATGGCTGATGCCATGCCACCCACAGGTTATGCGGCACCCCGACCATGTCCAGTCTGCTGTCTTGCTGTGGGCACACCATGAGAAGACTGTCGTCATCGACCAATCGGTGGCCTTTGTGGGCGGGATTGACCTGGCCTATGGGCGGTGGGATGACCAGGAGCATCGACTGACGGATGTGGGGAGTGTCACGCGCTCATTGGCCTTGGTCAGTGACTAGAGGAAGGGGATGCATCCAAAACTCTTGTCAGATATTATGTTTAGCTGCTGAAGTTTTCTAAGGCCCTAATTTCTTTTCCCTTTTTAAAATTACTTTGTTTGATTTATCTGATGCTTTTATCCAAAGCAGCTTAGAGTAGAGGGTGTCACAATTTCTGAGTGCTCCCTGGGATTGGAACTCGCAGTCTTTGTATTGTTAGTGCTACACCTATTGAGCCACAGGAGCACCGGCCATAAATCCATGAACAATCATGGTGTTTAGCTGCTGTTAAACTGGGAAGTTTTAGTGAGCAGATCCATCTTAGGATATTCAAGGGTATAATGGCAGGAGCCCTCATAGGACTTTACCCATAAGTCTTTGAGGTTAATTCCCTATGTGGCCTGTTATGCTTAATTTGCATAAGTAGATAAATATGCAACTAAGGGTGTAGATATATGCTGCTTTCTGTCAGAGCAAATTCTAACATGGATGTAATTTGTGTTTCATCCCATGAAGAGCGGGTTTGACACCCCCTTGTCCACTGCAGCCGTGTCGTCATGCGACAGCACTACAGCAGCCCAGAGAAACGGCAAGAGCGCCGCCCCAGTGGACACGGTGGACCAGCCACGGCTGAGGGGTGCAGCCCGGAGCCGTTTCAACCTCTACAGACACCTGCATAGACACGGGCTACAGTCGGCCGACAGCGTTAGCAGCCTGGAAAGTTCTGAGGATAGTGAGTACCCCTCTTTCTGTATCTCTCACCCTCTCACTCCCACACACACACTCACACACGTGTACAAATATTCATGTACAGGTGAACCAAGCTGAATGAATGTGTGGGAAGAAAAGGCTCATGCACTGAATTTCAAACAGGCGACTTTGGCAGCCATAAGGGTTCTTTTCAGTGTGCCTGGAATAGAGCTGTCACGATTACCCAATTAAACTCCATTACTCAGTTATTTATTATTATTATTGTTAGTATTATTATTGTTAGTAATAATAATCATAATAATTGATACTTTATTGATCCCCGTGGGAAAATTCTCTTTACTTATACCCCAAATTACCCTTAAAGCTTAACAGCATCGATTAAAATAATTCTTCTCGATTACTCGGCAATATGGCACAATGAGAATGAGGGCCCAAATAAAGAACAAAAACCATCAGTTGTGTGGAAACACTTCCCATTCGAAGTGAATGAAAATGCAGTCATCTATCAGTATTGCAAAGCAGAACTTAAAATTGAACTGTCTAGGCTGTGTTCAATAGAGGGGGTTTGCACATGACATCACAGTAGGCGGGACATACTCTGCTTACAACCAATGAGTGGCAAAAAGGCTGTGGCAGCATTAGCGTTCAGCTTGAGTGCTGCATCTAAAAGGGGAAATAGCTGTGTCAGTTATGTCGAATTTTTGAGCAAAATCATACCTCAAGTTATATACTACATTGAATGCTCATCAATTAAATATTTATCATTATTTATTTATATTCTGTGTAACCACAGAGTTCATTTATTTTAAGCCAAGATAAACCCAGTTTTCCTTATAAGGAGCTGCTCCACAAAAGCAGTTTAGACAGTGATCTAGATAACCTCAAAAGTTGATACACAACTGGTAATCAGAGATGGGGACTCGAGTTTGCAACTCAGACTTGAGTCACTCTTTGACTGGCTCTTAAATTGACTTCCAACTTGACTTGCAGCTTGTTACTTTTTGACTCAGATTTGACTCGGACACCTTGATAGAGACTCGTGCTCCAGTTCCTATGCTCTGTGCACAACTGCACATCATGATGTGTCTAACGCGTTTACGGTTTGGGGAGAGTTGTACACTCACTGCTTTGCATGTGTAGAAATTTCAATATATACATACTACATACTATATTTTTATATATACATACTAGTGCTGTCAAACTATTCAAATTTTTTATCAGATTAATCACAGGGTTGCTGTGGATTAATTTCGATTATTCACGGTTAAATATTCATTCATTTATCTATATTAATCGCATTTAAAAGTATACAATGTTAGGAAGGCTAATTTAATGGTATGAGACAGAAATTAGAAACTGTAAACTGGACAGAGTTAAATAGCAAAACAGTTGAAGAGTCCATGGGAATTTTTCAAAAGCACATTGTTGCAAGTGCAAGAGGACTTCATACCTGTTTCCAGCAAAACTAAATCTAGGAAACGACAACCAAGGTGGTTTACTAAGGAAATTAAGAATAAAGTCAGGAGGAAAAGGGCTCTGTTCCACAATTGGAAAATAACTAATGATTTAAAAATTAAGCAGGAGTATCTAAGTCTACAGGCAGAGTTAAAAAATGACATTAGGCTATCCAAGAGGGATGTAGAAAGAAAAATTGCATTGGAGGCTAAGCATGACAGTAAAGCAGGGGTCATCAACTATATTTGTCAGAGGGCCAGAGTTTTACCAGACAGTCTCCTTGGGGGCCGGACCAATAAATGCTTAACGCCGCATAGTCTGTCCCGCATAGTCTGTCCC